CGTCGTCGCCGTCCTCACGCCCATCTCCTACTCAACTTCCTCCTCCTCCCCGTCCTCCACCTCGTTTTCATCCTCCAACTACTCCTCCCTCCCCCCGTTTCGGCAGATGTACGAGACCTCGACACTGCCTGCCAAAAGCCACCCATAACGAATCGTAGACCTCAACCTACATACGAAAGGCCTCAGACCCACAACCCAGGCACGGTGGCGGGATGGGCCCGATACACAGCGTGCGACCCGGATTCACGATCAAAGCCTCGCGCGTTGGCATCGTTTCCGGACGGGCATCGTTTCAAATGGCAACGCCCCTGCACAAACGATAGCTCGGTAACGCGACAGGAGAACTCGAAACTCTGGCCATGCAAAAATGCCCCTGGCGTCCATACCCAGAATTCGTCGAATCCATCCTTATTGTACATTTTGGCAGCATTTCCATTTTGCAAACATGAACTCAAGAAACACGCGCCCCTACCATATTGTTGTTCCTGCCCACCAGATGTGCAGTCGCCCGCCCATCTGAGCCCCCACCCCCGATCAAGCTCTCCTTTGTATCCCCCCCACCCAGCCGTCCTCTTGCAATCAAGATGCGCCCGCTTCCCCCCTCAAGTCACGAAAGACATCTCGGGTGTGAGCGATGGCTTCCGTCACTCTCCCTTCGCTCTGATCCCTTGCGCCCGGAGCCCCCCGCAAAACGCCCCAAGCCCCGTAGACATCTTTGAAAAATGCGAGCGTTCCCTGCGTCAAAACACACACACACACACACACACACACACGAAACATATTCGGTTGCAGTGCTACCCCCCGCCACTCCTCCGCCCCCGTGGTGTTTTGGCCACCGAACCTCCTCAAAACGCACCCGGTGCCACTATGTTCGACCAAATTGCGGGCGTGTCGCGCTTCGAAATACAAGCGGGAGCTTTCGATGTCGGCGATGGTCGTCGTCAACCCCCACGCCCGGCCCCCGCGAAACCAACACCCAACAGCTTGAACGTTTCCTGCTTCAGCGACAACGGGAAAAGACTGGTTGGCGTTCCGGCGAATCGGAGGTATGCAGCAAAAAGCTGCGTACCGCCGTTAGGAATTCCACCCATCCACAACAAATTGGGTCGGCGGATGTGGCGTCAGCCTGGAGAATCGACGATTCGACACTGGTCGACGCTAAATCGACGCGAATGGATGCTAGACGATGCTAAATCGACGCTAATCGACGCTGAATCGGCGCTATCTCACCAATTCCCAGACGCTAGTCAACGCTGGTGCACTCTGAAGACGTAAGTACGAGGGCATAACAAGGCTCCCATGGTTTATTACCGAAATGTGTATAGCAAGACAAACAAACAATATATGAACGACGACACGAAACGGGTCTTGCGCGAGACGACATAACGACCCTACACCATTGCCTTTCTCGGACCGCCAGCGGCACACAGCTTGGAGGAGAAGCCGCTCACGCGCGGCCTTACGCGGGAAGCTCACGCGCGAATGTCCCGGCAGGTAGGTCCGTTTCTGTTCTGCCGTCGCTCAACATGGCGGACAAGCATGCTGTTTGGACGCCCGAATTGGGTACGGAAAAAGTGGGCACAGTGCCCAACAACAAATGTTGTCCCAAACCAACAGCGGGAGCTGTCGGGCAGGCGGCCTTCTGTCTCAAGTGGACACAGGCCGCGGCGGCGCGGACAGCGAGTCCTCTTCAAAATGAACAGGAACTGCTGTTGGACATTGTGCCCATCCTTTCCCGCACCCATGTCTTCGATCGTCTCGACCGAAGCTCCCAAACCCCCCAAAAGACGGTGAAGCCCGTACGTCTGCGGGCACCACTGTGATTCGTTCCTCGATGCTCCAGGGCGTCCCCCCCCTGGAAACTGGGCAGATGGCTTCCGGTGGGTGGCCGGGGGCCGCGAGGGGCAGGCCAGCCCGGGCCCTGGGCGCCGTCGACCTTGCGAGCCGATCGAAGTTATCTCGCCTCGGTTGTTTGCCCAGGGGAGGAAAACAACCGAGGCGAGACAACGTCGATAGGCTCGCGTCTGATTGGTGGGTCGCTCATTTCCGTACCCATTTCGTTCGTGCAGATGCTGCACCTGGGCGGGGGATCGCGGCAGGCCCCGCTCCTGGGCGGTAGACCTTCGCGGCCTTGAACACCGAGATGCGCCCGCCCACGGCCATCTGGGGGAGGGGGCGGCCAGCGGGCTCCCCGCGGCAAGACGGAACCGGGACGAGGACAAAAACGGACGAGGATCAACTCGGGCCTCCAGTGGTCTCGTCAGGGCAAGCCTTGGTCAGTCGGGCTTTGCAGGATCCTCTAGGGCTCCCAACTTCGCGCTTCGCGCTGCGCGAAGCGCGAAGCGCGAATAACTTCGCGCTCTCGCGCCGCCCTCCCAAAGGGAGAATAGGAGGACGAGGAGGAGGGGGAGAAGGAACGAGGACCGCGAAGCGCGAAGCGCGAATAACTTCGCGCCCTCGAGGGAGCCCTTGGAGCATCCTGCAGGCTCCTGCAGGCTCCTGCAGGCCAGCCCGGGGTCTGCAGCCCTGGCTCCGCAGGATCCTACAAGGTCCGGAGCTGTGGGCAATGCCCGTTTACATTGACCCCCGTCTCAAGGCTCCCGACAATCGGGGGAAAATAAACCTACCTCGCTTTTGACCACCCTCGCTTCCAAGAGATACCAAACGATGCCAAATTGCAGCCTGTACTGGTCAGGCCGCTTGACGAGGAGGCGCGTGGTATGGCTTGGTTTTGCCTGGAAGCGAAAGCGGGGTAGGTAATTCACGCTCTGAGTCTCAAGGCTCCCGACAAGTCGGGAATCTCTGAAATTCCGCGGCTCTGGAGGACGTCCTGGGCGCCACGGCCTTCTCAGAGCGTGCCGGAACGCTCTGAGAGCCACTCGCCACGCACGCTCTGCAACGTTTCTATCCTCGTCCTACCCCCGTCCGACGCAGGCCTTCCCACCGCTGCATCGCCGATGCACCGCCAAGGCGTCGCCGATGCATCGGCGACGCCAGGATGGAGAACACCGTGCTCGGAAACGATCGGCATCGCTGATGCGTCGGCGATGCGGCGCGATCTTCCGACCTCATCAGCTCGGACTGCACTTGGGCGGCTCGGGTTCCTCCGCGCGCGAGTGAAGTGTACCCGAGCGGCTCACTACGACTCTGAAGCCTCGAAAAGTAACCGAATGTGTCCCAAAGGGTTTCGTAAGGCTCGAGAGACATGGACATGCAACGACTGCTCGGGCGTTCGGAGGAAAGGAATATGACCGAAGCTGGGGTAGGGGAAAATCGCAAGTGAACAGCGCCTGGACAAAGAAAATAGCGCCATCCAGCAAGATTCGCGCCCTAACCCACGTTGGGATGCACCCCACCTCAACAAGTCCCCGAACTGTGTGAAGGTCATCGAGACGATTCCGCACAGCATTCGCAAAGGTCTCTGCGGATGTCCAGGGGATTCCGCCGAGTATCTAGAGCGCCACAAAGTTCTCTGTTGCCCCAAGGATCCTCCGCCTCATCCTCTCCCCAGCTGCTGCATCCCCCTGGAAGCATTACATCAGCGACTTTCGACATGTCAGACAATGTACATTCGTGCGTGTTGCCTCCAACTTACCACGAACATAATTTTGCTACCACGGCGGCAACTAATGATACAGCACCGAATTATCGAAGTACTGAGGTCACGTAGAGTTGCCGATGCATACCTTGCTCAACACTTCTGCATGGTCCTTGCTCATGTTGCTCTGCCACCTCCGGTGCCCCCTTTTCTTCTCCCCCACATCCGTAGTCGTGGCTTCTTCACAACGTAGCTCCACTGAGGTCTGTACCCCATCCTGGGGAGCAGCTCTCCATCTTTTCGAAACAGTGTGACTGTCCCAGGGCCTGAAAAAAACAAAAACCAAACATTGCCAAAACACTGGCGCAGCAGTTTGTTCCACGACGCGAGGAGGCCAGAGTAGCACGACCCCCAGAGCTGGCCTTCTTGAAGACGGTCGACATGGGACCCCGAGGATTAGCGGAGCTAGCTCTGCTCCCAGCCTGCGTGCACCCGTGGCGTCTCGGGGCAGAAGCTGACTCGACGGACCCCTTGACCCGCAAGCGGCGGCGGAGCCCGCCGTCGACGACGAGCTGGTGCTGGCGGACGGCACGTGCCAGCAGTCGGCCGAGTGCCAAACCAGCAGACGTTGAAGCACGCTGAAAACTGGTCCCAGGGCTGCACCTAAACGGAGTTGTTCGTTTTCGTTTTGTTGTCGTGTTCCCTTGTTTTATCCTCCATCCACCTCTACCGCAAAATGAAGTCGACACGAAAACGGCACACGAAATCGCCAAACCACCGTTTAGGTCCAGCCCTGACTGGTCCCGGAGGGGGTCCCGAACAACTTCCCCGCTCCCGGCTTCCCCGAGCCCTCCCCGTGCCCTACGACCGTCCAAAAAACTGCTCACGATCAAGAACTGGCCTGGGGATAGCCCCGACCCGCTTCCCTCAGGACCCCCCCTTCAGTCACGGCGACGCGCGACGTATCTCCGACGCGGACATTCGGGCCAGGCTCCAGCTCGGGAGCCCCAACAACTTCTCGTCGAAAGGCCAAGCACGAAGCCCGTCCCATCGACTGCCCAGCGCACGAGACTTTCCGGAAGCGCTGCCATCGTCCAAAATGGCCCCCCGATGCCCAGATCGTGTCCCAACGGCCTCGACATCGATATCGCTGTATTTGCAATGCCTGAGCTCTAAATGCATGCACACTGCGGCTAGAGCACATCGCATGTGGCGGGCAGACTACAACTTAGAGTTCAAGCATGGCTCGCGCGAGAACTGCGTATGGGTACCATGTTATGGCGCACCAGATTGCAAACACCGCGCATACAGTTTTGCCCCACATCGATAGCAGAGTATTGCAACAAGCCCCCTCGAGAACTTCACATAGGGTGGCCCCTACCAGCGGCAAGCCGACTGGAGGCGCGTCCGTATCCACACTGCCGCTTCTGCACCTTCTGGACTACGCCCCGAACGCTCATGCCCGCATTCGGCTCCCAGCTGGATCTCAGAGAACTCTGCCGAGGAGCCTCGAGGTGCAACCAGACATGGAACACGTCAGTCAGAGCCGAAAGGGGCTGACCATGAGAAGGGATCGCGAGCAAGAAGGATGGAGGTCTGGAGAATGTGGGCAGGCGCAACCTGTACTGTGCAGGTAATCGAATGTGGGCAGGCGCAACCTGTACTGTGGTGGAGAGGTGCAGATAATCGAATGAGGAGTAGGGAGCAACTCACGAGGTGCGACGTATGAGGTGCAATCCATGCGTTGCAATCAATAGGGTGCAGTGTCTGGGGCGCAATCTGTGCTGCGCAGTGCTTAGGAACGGATGGCTGGGCCGCAGAGGGCCAACAAATGTGCACAAACGCATCGGGCATCAAACCCCAGCAAAAGGGCACCGACCGGGAACGGCCGAATGCGACAGCGCGGGCCAGAGCCAGAAGGCACCAACACTTCGGGCTCCAGCCCCGGGGCAGCGACCAGGAAACGCCGAACGTAACGCCGCGGGCCAGCCACACGGCACCAAACGCTTGGGGCGAGCGGGCGAGAGATGCCTTGGTGCAGGCTCAATGCGGCGAGGCGCGTGTGCCTGTGCCCTCTTCGGCAAGGCGGGTGAGGCCGTAGCCCCTAAAAGCCCTGCAGATCTCTGATCGGCGGCGAGCAAGAGGGGAAGTTAAAAGGAGAAGTTCTTCTCAGAAGGCGGCGGGGCTTCTCAGGAACCCTCGCGCGGTCTCAGAAGTTGTCCGTGTCTTCGGGGAAGGCTCAGAAAACTTCTCCGAAGGCCAAAAACCTTCCGAGCCTTCGGAGAAGGCCCGCCCCTTCTCACTTCCCCCCCTCGCTCGCTGCCGATCTGACATCATGCACCGCGCGGGAGTCACACGGTGGGGCCGAAATGCCCCAGAATGGCTGCCACCGCGCAGCGCACCAGCCAACGGGCACCGGCCAGGAAGCGCCTCGAGCGCGACCGCCCGGGCCAGCCCCGAAGCACCAAAGCGCAGGGCACTAGTCCGACGAAGCCAGGACGAGGATAGATTCGGGTGATGAGAAATCGCGAATTTCTGAGATGTGGCGGCTCAGAGCGTTCCGAAACGCTCTGGGAGCGTTCCCGAACGCTCTGGAACGGATTTATCCTCGTCCTAGTTCAGCCCGAACTAGGCAGATGACACCGACTGGGAGAACGGCCGAGTGCGGCAACGCGGTCTGGCTTCTGACAACACAGCCCCTGCGCACGTGCAAGCAAAGTTGGGGAGCAGCCCTCGAGCCCAATCGAGCAACGAAAAGCAATGAGCCTTAAGCAAGATGGCATAGGGACCTTATGCGGCGGCTTACGCGGGCCGCCAGCGCGGCACGCTACGTTGGAAGCGAGGGCGCTGACGTGCGACCTTACGCGGGCAACTTACGCGCCAATGTCGGTTAAGACGACCGCGTTTTTTTCCGTCGCTCCACTGGGGCAGTTCTTCAACGCAGCTCGGTGAAGCCACTGCGCGCGTCCCGAGAAAATTGGCAATTGCCCAGCACAAAGCCGCGCGCAGCGGCGCCGCAAGAAGGAGGCTGCAACTGGAGCTACTGTGGGCAACCGAAACGCGTGACTCCCGCTACGGGAGAGAGGAGGCGGACCACAAGACGACCCGGCACAAGCTGCGCCGGAGCCGGCCCAAGGGCATCAGTGGCCAACACGTCAGCCGAGCGCAGACGGATGGAACGAAGCGCCACCGGAGCTAGAGTCCGAGGAGGTGGAGGAGTCATGGCAGGAAGGAAGCTGGGTGCCAGCGCGGCACCCGTCTCCGAGGGTCACACGAGCAAGGTCGCACCCGGGTGGATTGCGGAGAGTCTGCTCACCTCGTCGGCCGTCAGCTGAAAGCCGAAGACGTCCCTGTCGGCCACCATGTGGTCTGCGTTGGCGGTGCCCACGACCACGGCCACCCCACGCTGCAGGGACCAGCGCAGGACGACCTGCGGCGCCGAGGCGTTGTGGGCGGCCGCGATGTCCCTGACCACGGGGTCGGAGAGCACCGAGCCACCAGCTCCGCCCAGTGGCGAGTAGGCCTCCAGGAGGATGCCGTGGGCCCTGCAGAAGTCGAGCAGCTCCTCCTGGTGGTGCATCGGGTGCCACTCGACCTGGTTCACCTCGATTGGCCGAGTGGCGCTCGCCAGGGTGGCCTCCAGGTGCTCCACCATGTAGTTCGACACGCCGATGCTCCTCACCACGCCCATCTTCGCGAGGTCCTCCATCGCTCTCCACGTGTCAGCCAAGGCCTGCCTGCTCGCGGGCACCGTCATGTTGGAGCACTCTGGCAGCTCGCGGTGGAACCGGCACAACGGCTTGAAGGTGAGGGGGAAGTGGACCAGCAGCAGATCGATGTACGCAACTCCCGAAGTGCCAAACTGTCCGAGCATCTGCAAATTGTCGTCCGCACACTGGATGGTGGCTTCGTAACCCATGGCGCCGGGACATTTGGTGGTGATGAACACGTCCTCCCGCCGCAAACCACTGGCCCTCAAAGAATCCGCGATCTCCGTCTGCGTTCGGTAATCGTTAGCCGCATCGAGATGGGTTCCGCCTATGTGCAGCCAAGTGTCTGCCGCGAAACGCGCGTGCTGCTTGATACACGTGAAGTCAGAGCGGCCGCAGTCCTTGTAGCTACCAGACCATGTGCCCATCGCAACCTGTCGAAAGCGTTCCCAACTTACCTCTTATCCCATGGCACAAGAAAAAGAAGGCGATGCGGGCGACAAGGAGGTAGAGGAGGATAAGGGAAACGAGCACAAGAAGGCGGAAGGAGCGAGGGATCGGAAGGAAAAATGAGGAAGGACGACAGAAGTAGTATGCAGAAGGAACGAAGCAGGATGAGGATCACGACGGGAGGATGTGGAGAAAGAGGAGGAGAACAGGGCGAGGCAGTGGAGGACCATGAAAAGATGGGGGGAAGGAGACGACGAAGCATTAGGAAGATCAAGAGGCAGGGGGATAATTGATGCGCATCATGACAACGATGCTAACGATTGTGACGATGACGATGGTGATGATCGGACGCTTGCGGTCGCGCGCACGGCATAGCGAAGCGCACGAGCCTGAACCGCTGGCGGCACAGACTCCAAGACTCTGCTGAGCACAAAAGTCTCGGGGCCGCGGCTCGCAAGAGAAGCACTGCAGGCAACGTGCGTGACGGCGTGGCGCCCTCCTCCCGCCGGCCTTCTTTTGCCAAGGCAGCGCCCTCCTCGGACCGCCCTGCTCCGCGGCTCGCTGGCGGGGCGGGGCGCGTCAGGGCGGGGCTGCGACGTGATCGCCATCGCATGCGCGAGCGCACGGGTCCCGGCCTCCCCCGCCCACCGTGGCCGTGACCCGGGGGGGAGGGGGGGGGGCCGTACACGACCGATGCGCGCCAGACGAGCGAACAATCTCCCAGGCTCTTCGCTCTCCACCGCCGTGGGCGCCGTGGCGCCAGGCGGCGGCCCCTGCAGTCTGAGCTGCCTGCGGGCCGACAGCGCTCGCGCCAGGCAGGCCCCGGCGCGCACCCCTGACCTCGTCGTGGGGATCCGCGCCTTGGCCGCGCAAGTGCTGCAGCTGGAACAGACAGTGGCGCCGCGGGGGGCCTGGCCGTCGCGACGACGAGGGCCCCCCGAAGATGCCCAAAGCCACCGACGACGACGGCGATGACGATGACCGACTGCTCCCGTCGGGGTTCTCCTGCGAGGCTGGGGCCTCGACCTAGCGGCCGGGGGCATCCGAGGGCGAGCGAGGCCCAGGTCTCCCCGGAGGCACCCAACCGAGGGGTCAGGCAGCCCCGCACGTCGTTATCGTCGTCGGCCGGGGTCGCCTGGGGCACCAGAAGGCGGCGCTGGCCGCGGGGGCACTGCGTCCATGTTGGGGACTGCCGCACCTGCCCGAAGCGAGCCTTCCAGCGCCTGGCGCTGTCGGCTTGCACCGCGTGCATGTTGTTCCTGGCCGGGGATCGCCACCGCGTTCGCCCAGCCGTTGCCTCTCTTGTGGCGTGGGCGCGCGCATTGGCCTGGTGGGCGCGGCAGTGCTCAAACTCGGAGAACCCGAGGCGCGTGCCACCGCGGTCGCTGATCAGGACCCACAGCTTGACCCACGCGTGCCTGATTGCCAGACGAGGCTGCGAGCATCACGCCTGCCCGCGGAGCAGGCCATCTACGAGCCGAAGAGGCGTGACCAGCGTCACAGGGAAGAGGCCGAAGACAACGCCACGACCACTGCCCACAGCTCTACCCCGGTGATGTCTGGGCAAGCACTGGGAAGGTGCCGAAAGCGATGAGACAGGCCTGGCCCATGTCGTCAAACAGCGCGTAGATGGTGGTGGCAATGGGGGTTAGAGAGGGAGGGGCAGTGGGAAGGAGGAGGGCTACGACGATGGGGCAAGTATGCGAATTATCATGAACTCTGAGGAACAAGCGGTGGCGATGGAGAAGGACAGGGAGGGCACAATGGGGAAGAAGCAAGAGGGAAGAAGTAGGAAGGAAAGAGGAGGGGGATAGAATGGAGGAGCGCAGATGGAGTGGAGGAAGAAGTGACGATGAGAAGGTAAGGATGAGGAGAGGGAAGAGAAAGAGGAGGATGACGGTGAGAAGGTGGAGGAAGAGGATGAAGAGGAGGCGGGGCAACATAAGAGCATTGCACAACCACGCGTTTTTGCAGTGAATTCAAAACGGCGTGCGTCGTTACAGCTCAAGAGGCCCCCACGACCATACCAAGATGTCCCAACAGCCCCCAAGCAAGAACTCGAACTTGCACCTGGAGACATCCACCCCGAGACGGCACCCGAGACCTCCAGCAAGTTCTCAAGAGGCGCCCAAGAGGCCCGCAGAGGCCCCCAAGACTAAGAGACATCCGAGAGGCTCAAAGAAGAGTCCCACGCAAGCCTCCACGCGGCCCCGAAAGGGCCTCCCATGATACCCAACGAGCCCTCTGAGGGATGGGCCGAGTAGGCCACTAGATAGAGATGCCGACGTGAGGATTGAACAAAATGCCAACCGCCAACATATCAAGCTTAAGGACATCGCCGACGCTCAGGTGCGACGCGGTCGTCGTGGAAATGAGGTCGCCCAACTGTGGTCTCATGTGAAACTCAAGGCGGTCGCCCCACTGCGGTTCACTTCGTAATCACAGCGTAGTTGGACTACACGTCGCGCAAAGCTAAAATTGACGCTACTTGGACTTCCTTCCTCTCTGCCAGTTGCCAGAACGGATAGCTGGCAATCAATTGCAAACGTGTCGGCTTACTCACTAATTGGGAAAAGCCCCTCACTTCGATCTCCTTCTGCGAGAGTCATGGGCACATGATATGGTGTTGGGTACTGTCCTTGATAATCATTACCTCTATTCCAAGGTTGGTTGGCGTGCTTCCATGGAGTTAGAGTTTGACAGTTTCTGCACTGACTGACGTCCTCGGGCGCCGATCAGCGCCACAGGGAAGCAGCAGTGCTTGACGGCCAGCAACAGGAAGTGGGGCGAGGAGGGCGACCTTCCAAGAAGGCAGGGACCCTCTTGGAAGGGGCAGCCTGCTAAAACTGCACGCCTCATACACCTGTGAGGAGCAACCCCGTCACTCTGCACACCTTCCTTGCCACCGCCATGGGTCCTGGCCCGAATGCCGGGATCTCTCACCGCCGACCTGGCCCGGCTTCCTGCCTCCATTATCTGACTGCACTTGTCTGTGACCCTCGCAGACGTCGACGGATATACAGATTAGCACTTCATAGTGCAAGCATGCATCCAGCAAAGAGGATCACTGGCCTCGTGTACATTTGACTGCGGGACGCCCACAGTGCCTGACAACTCTCCATGGTTACATTAATAACATAACACACCGTTGTGTTCATGGCAGACCTCCCCACGCAACACACCACTGGCACTCGTGCAATCCATAAGCCGAGCTGGCTTTCTCAACATTAACGGTTGTCGTTCGCGCTACTGCAATCAAACCCCGTCGCAACTCAATCGGCGCAAACGGTAACTACTCAAAGTTCCTCCAAAAGCGCATGCCTGTAACGAGGCCGCTTCTGCCTGAAAAGGCAGCCCGCAATCACACTCCGCAAAGATTGTCGCTTGTCGAATTGCGCGGCCCAATCCATGACCCAGACAGCCTGCCCTATCAATTGTTCGACCGTCCTTGCCTTAGGAAAGGGGCCTCGGTACCCTCCTTCACTTAGCAAAGCTTCGCACAATTTGCCTTTCCAGTAGCTGGTTCTGGCAAGAGCATAGCCACTGACCTGCAATGACCTGTATCAGAATCACGACTATACATAATGTCATACGCCACTCCCGTGCGCACTTCGTATCATGCGTTATTGGCATTGGCCCTGGTCTGTCCCACGTCATGAACGAGTGGGAGCCATGCCCATGCATGCACAATACGAAGATAGGAATACACAATAACGACACCATAAAAACAATATCGGCCACAGTAGTGCCGTCAATATGTCTGTCAGTGTCTTGGATATGCCGTCGACCCTCATAGGTGGCATCTTACTCCAACAAGGGTTCTTACTCCACGAGCAGGTTGAGCATACACTCGGCGAGCGGCTGCACGCTGCAGAAAACTGTGTCGACGCGTCTGTGGCTTCAGCAACTCGAGCATTTTCTGGCGCATCGTGTGGGCAGCCGAAAAGAGCAGCGCGGCAATGGGGCCCACGACAACACGAACATGGCAGCCAAGGTTCGGGCACGCAGGCACCAGCATCGCTTGAGACACACTTGAACGGCGCTGCTGATCATGGGGGGAGGAGGGGGAGGGAAGGGGGCAGAAAGGACGAAGAGGAAAAGGAGAGAGAGGAGTCGCTACACACACCCCTTTGATTTTCGCCCTGCCACGACCATCGGCATGCGCACTCCCCCCGCCAGCTCGAAGCACGGCTCGCCCCCCTTGGCGTCAGCTCGGGTGCTGCTAGACATGCTCCTGCCCCAGTTTGTCGCACCATTTTGGAGCCACTGGGGCCTACTGGGCCGCGTGACGGCCTCCCAGAAAATCCTGAAATCCTGGGGGGAACCTGGTGCCAGAGGCGCATATCCTGAGATCCGACATTGCGGAACAAATACGACATCACCGAAAATCACGGCCACACCCCTGGACCCAATGTTTTCGCATCACTTGCCAAGCCCGATCGAACTGTGATAGCCTGGGGGCCCGAAGCCCAACGAAAGCGCCAGGCGTGAAGATGTTGCAGCGCCTGGATGTCAGCCCCAAGCAGCACCCCACCTTGGCGTCGGCGTCGCACACCGCCGCCAGAGCCACTCCGACGCCGCCGGCCGCCCAACCGGCCAGCGCCAGCAGCAGAGCCCCAGGCGCCCTCCTGGTCGCAGGGCCCCCGCCCAGCCGCGCGCCCATCCCCGAGGCCCGCGCTCCGCCGCGGCGGGGCCCGGGCGTCGGCCGCGGGGCCGCTCCGCGGCCGTGCGATCTCCTGGCGGGCACCGCGCGCGGAGCCAACGCGCCAGCAGACAAATCGAGCCGGTGGGCCCGGGTGGAGGCCGCGGGCTCGCACTGGGTTTTTCGACGGGAACGTGTTCTTGGTCGTTGGTCGATCAGCGGCGCTCGTTGCGTCACCCTGCCAGCCGATGGTCGTAACGCCAGGCCGTGAGGGGAGGTGCTGCTGGCGCCGGGTGCGCCGCCGGACGGGCTGCACCCGAAGCCCAGCCCTAGGCGCCCACCCTCTCGTGAACCCCGCGGTCCCCAGGGTTTCCCGCGCCCACCGCTTCGTTCTCCAACGAGGTCGGCGCTGCCCTGCCAGGATGGTGCTTAGATTTTACCTGTAACGGATGTTCGGGGGGGGGGGGGGCCCGGATACTGGTAACGCTTGGGCGGGGCGGGGCACGTCGGGGCGGGGGTGCGCCGCGATCGCCACAATTCGCGCGAGCACCAACGCGCGTGGGAACCCAGCACCCCCCCCCTTTTTCGAATCGCTGCCATTACCCGGGGGGGGCGCGGGTACCGAGCATTGCGCGCCCAGACCACCTCGCTGGGGAATGGAGGATGGGGGACGGGGCGAAGGGCACTGGGAACCGGGAGTGGGGTGGGAGCCGACTGGGGAGCGGAAAACGGGAAAGGGGAGAGGACCGACCGCACGTTTTCGGGGCTGCGCGGCCAGCCGCACTCCGACGGTCCCGCATCGGGGGGAGCGCCGTGGCGGGAGCTGGGGGGCTCAGGCCCCAGAGCATCGCGCAGAATTCCCGGCTGCACGCTGACGCGCGCCTTGGCGGCAGGGTCTCTGGCCCTTTTTTCCCATGATCCCCCTTTGTTTTCTCCTGCTGGCGCTGATTCCTCACCCGCCTCCACCCCTTCCTGCTCATTATCGCTCTGGTCATCATTCGGGCGCCCTCTCCCGCCGTCCTCCTCCAGGCCCTCCCTGCTCCGGGCACCCCTGTCCTGTGCGAATTCGCCAGCGCCGTCCGCCCCCCCCCCCTCCCAAGATGTTATTGAGCGGCCCCCATAAATTTGTCGGGGGCACGTCATGCCTGTGCGCACGTAACATATGGCGCCGATCGGCGCAACAAGGCATAAACAATCAGCGACTTACTGGCATCAGACAAATTCATCCAATCCGTTTCGCGCATCGACCCTTCCGAGCAGGAGGAGGAGGAGGAGGAGGAGGAGGAGGAGGAGGAGGAGGAGGAGGAGGAGGAGGGAGGAGGAGGAGGGAGGAGGAGGAGGAGGAGGAGGAGGAGGAGGACGAGGAGGAGGAGGAGGAGGAGGAGAGGAGGGAGGAGGAGGAGGAGGAGGAGGAGGAGGGGGAGGAGGAGGAGAAGGAGGAGGAGGAGGAGGAGGAGGAGGAGGAGGAGGAGGAGGAGGAGGAGGAGGAGGAGGAGGAGGAGGAGGAGGAGGAGGAGGAGGGAGGAGGAGGAGGAGGGAGGAGGAGGAGGAGGGGAGAGGAGGAGGAGGAGGAGGAGGAGGAGGAGGAGGAGGAGGAGGAGGAGGAGACGAGGGCATAGGAGGAGGAGGAGGAGAAGGAGGAGGAGGAGGACGGACGGACGGAGGGAATAGGAGGAGGAGAAGAGGAGGAGAAAAAGGGAATAGGAGGAGGAGGAGGAGGAGGAGGAGGAGGAACGAGGGAAGAGGAGGAGGAGGAACGCCAGGCGCGCCATTGGAACAAATGGCGTTCGAGTTCAGGCCTGCCCCGGATAGGGGGCGCTGGCCAAGCCGACGCGCACCACGGCGGCGCCACCGATCAGAGCCGGCACCCGGCCGCCCTCCTCGGGGCCGAACAGGCGCAACGCGAGCGGCGCCGCTTCGACGGGGAGCAGCAGCGGTTCCGCCACAGCGGGGCGGAAGAGCCAGATGGCCCCAGACAGGAGAGAGGGAGGAGGCGGGCGGGGCTGACAAGCCAGATCGCCTGGTCTATTCACGAGGCATCGGAAGGGGGATGCCATTTGCGAAACCACAAGCTGACGTGGTGTGCGTGTTCCTCCCCCGTCGTCCCATCACCATCCTCCTCATCCCCTCCATGATATTCCTCTTCACCCGCGGCCTCCCCCTCCCCACCCACCATCCCACTCCCCATCCAATACAATCAATACAATACAATAGCTTCCTGAATGGCTATCCTCCTCTTGCTGGTTCGTTTCCCTCTGCAAATATATGTAATGGCTCTCCTTCATCTCCACATCTCCTCATCATGGTGCGCCTAATACTCCTCAGATTCATCACACAACAAAATCTATGATCGTACTGACCCTGCTCACACTGTTTGTCCTGCCCCTTCTCCTGCCTCTCCACCTTCTCCCCCATCGTGACGTTCTTCCTCTCCCTCCGCCTCCACATCGCCATCCACCGCCGTCCTGCTCGTTCCCCGCCTCCACCTCATCCTCGTTCTCCGTCGCCCCCCCCCCCCCCCGCTCATCCTACTCTCGCTCGTGCTTCTCCTCCTCGCAAGCACAGCTTGCCCACTCCCAACTGGCGCGTGCCAGGGCCGAGGGGGGGCAGCCCGCCGGTGGGGGGGGGGCAGCGCCGCTCAGCTGAGGAACGACCTGGCAAGGAGGGCACAGGCTCACGCCCCTGCCCCCTCCCGTCAACGTCAGCTCCTCGCCGCCCTCCAAGTCCTCCTCCCCTCCCTCCGTCAGCCTCCCCGCGCCCTCTAGAATCTCTACGAGCAACCTCTGCACTCGACACTGTATTGCATCTCTGGACTCTCGACACCCAAAACCCTCGACAACCTCGCTGTGATCTGCACCCTCTGAGCTATCTCGATCATATCGACATGTTCTATTGTGAGACGATTCCCAGATGTTGACTCAACATCAACACCGTCGTGCTCCAGGCAAGAAGCCCAGAACCCAGAGTCTTGCGCTCCTGGTGGTCCTACGTGCCCCCCTGTTCCTGCTAGCTAGACAAAAAAAAGAGAATCGAAACTGACCCTGACCCGAACCGGTCCTGCGACCGGCAAAAAACATCGGCGCGAAGGCATCGGGCCAACTAACCTCATGAAGCCATTAAGAGACCCATGTATGATCGTGAGCACCGAAGCAAACATTAGAAATCCATTGGGGCGGATTCAGCGGAGCAATATCTGTAGCACCTCACCGAAACGCAACAACCACAAAAAAAATGTTCCCCCACCGCGCGCAGAGATGGAAACCTTGGCGTGCCAATAACCCTGATGTCGCACGAGGACACGTCGATGACAGTGATGATTAGTTACTCCAGTGGCGCCGAACTCACTGACATCGTGCTGGAGCCTACTGAAGCGTGAAAGGGTGCCAGGGTAACGCTTCAGGGTGATGGCTGCGTTGTCGTTTCACCTGAAGGGGAGCTAGGGGGGAGTTTCTCAAGAGCTCTATGAGGCACTCAGCGGCCATGACACCGCAAATGCACTGTGTCCAAGAGTCTCAGGTTCCGCAAGAGGTGCTTGCATACAGGGATTCTCACTTGGGTTGGCAAATCCGCCGACCCTTCGGCGTCTTTGAGACGAGGTCGTCGTCGTTGTCGTCGTCGTCGCCGTCGCCGTCGCTTCAGCCATTTTGGCTCAAGCCATTTGATCTCGAGGTTTTGAGTTTCCCAGGGAAACACATGGATACCGCTAGTCCGCGGCTAGACCTCCAGTCTTTTCATCGCCGGGTCGCCAGCGGGGTTCCCGGGGGAGGTCCCGCCTGCGGTGGGGGGGGGTCATGGTTGCGGGTCAGAATCCCCTCCTCTCCTGGGTCCCGGCGGGTCGTCGCCCGCGGAGAGTCTTGGGGAGGTCCCGCCTGCAGGGTCGGCGGCGCCGGTCCCATGGCCTTCGCAATGCTTGAAAAAGCAGATGCCGAGGCTTCGCCTGGTGCCCGGCTGGTGGCCGCCCGTCGGCGCCTCGTGCCCAGTGGGCGCCCCGTGCGCCGGGTGGCTCTGCCAGGGATTCGCCGGGCGCCCGCCCGTGTGCCGCCCGTGAGCGGGCGCCTCGTGGGGGCCCCTGGGCGACCGCCCGCTTGCGCATCGCAGGCGACCGCGGGGCTTGCCCCAAGGTAGTTGCACCACATAGAGTGCACCACACAGATTGCACAGCATGTGCCGTACCACATCGATTGCACCACACCGCGCGCACTGCATAGCATGCACCACCCCCACTGCGTCCTATCGGTTGCATCACTAAGCAACCACCACATAGTTTTCACAACACAGCTCGCACAACAGACTATACACATACATACATACATACATACATACATACATGCATGCATGCATACATACATACATACATACATACATACATACATACATACATAGTTACATACACGCATACATACATACATACATACATACATACATACATACATACATACATACATACATGCATGCATGCATGCATGCATACATACATACATACATACATGCATACACGCATACACGCATACATGCATACATGCATACATGCATACATGCATACATGCATACATGCATGCATGCATGCATACATGCATACATACATACATACATATATACATACATACATACATACATACATACATACATACATACATACATACATACATACATACATACATACATACATACATACATACATACATACATACATACATACATACATACATACATACATACATACATACATGCACACATACACACATACATACATGCATACATACATGCATGCATACATACATACATACATGCATACATACATACATACACATGACTGTGCGTTTAGAGGCTGTGCAACTATATGCGTATATATAGGTATAAATATATACACATGCATGACATCACCTAGCTTGCATCACGTTGCCTGCACCGCGTAGATCGATTGCACATCGAGGGTGCAGTTGTCTACTGTTTGGGGCCCATGTTGTTTAACATCTGAGTATGTCCATGACTGGTTCTGAGCTGTAGATGGGAGAACTCACAAGCTCGTCCACCTCCTCCTCATCCTACTTGATTGAAGCCTGAGAGTCCAAAAAGTCATGTCAAAAGAACGAGTCTGGGCCACTCACAAGCCTCTGCTGCCGAGGCGGAACTAGAATGGCAGGAAGAGCAGGAGGAGGGAGGAGGAACAGACACGGGAGGAGAAAGAAGAGAGCGAGATTGAACGTCAGGCACTAAGAATCTGACGCGCGGAGATGGATTGTGCCCGAGTCTACGTCTCTCACAGCTACGTTGCCCCCCCTCGGGAGGGGCAAAGGTGTTCCTGGCCCACGATGCCCCCAGCTTTCCACGCCTTCCGGAGCCAGTGCGGCCCTCTCAGCCAGGTGAGCAGGCACTCTGGGGACTACCTTGGGCCAGGGCCAACATCTGGCAACACCAGACCTCCCGGTCCCTGTTGCACTGAGGCGCAACGATAGGGGGCGACTGGCATAGGGGGGGGGGGCGCCACATCAACCTGGCATCGGCGATACATCGCCGATAGATCGGCGATGGGGCCCCGATACTGCATCCGCGTCTGCCTGGGCAGGTTGGGGCTATCGGGCCCCTATCGGCGATCAGTGGGCGATTGGGGGTCGATGCATCCCCCCCCTATACCTATCCCCCCCTATCGGCGATAGGGAGGCATAGGCGTCGGCATAGATGGGAGTGGTTCAGGGGCATCGTTGCCCCTGAAGCACTCCCATCTCCTCCCCCTCCGTGGAAGCGCCACAGGACCGCGACAGCTCGGCCGGAGGACTCCCGAGCCTTCTGAGAAGGCCCGCCCCCTCCCACTTCCCCCCTGGGGCCAGTCGCCGACCCTTCCCACTTGGAACCTCACCTCCTCCCCCCTCCCTGGAGGCGCAGCCAGACCGCGACAGCTCGGCCGTGTCCAAGAAGGACCACTCGGCCTCCTCGCCTCCCGGGCGGACGTGCGGCCAGTCCTGCGGCCTGGCACCCGTGCAGGACGAGCAGGGGCTGGGGAGGCTGAGGGGCAGGAGAGGGGAGGAGAGGAACAGGGGGAAGGACAGAGGGGAAGGATCGAGGGGGAGAATAGAGGAGGAGAGGGGAAGGATAGAGGGTAAGGATAGAGGAGAAGAAAAAAGGGGAAGGATACAGGGGAAGTATCGACGAGGAGACGAACAGGGATAGAGGGGAAGGATAGAGGGAGAGGGATGGGGGGAAGGATAGAGGGAGGGCAAGGATACAGGGGAAGGATGCGGATGAAATAAGAAGCGCTAAATAAGAACGAAGCCCCTTTTGGGCCCCACGAGCGCCAGCGTGGACGAGGAGCGCTAGAGAAACGGACATGGAATGACCTAAGGAACATCGATGCCCTTCCGAAGCCAAGCTGCTCCTCATTTCAGCGTCTTCGCTGTAAAGGAGGAGACGAACAAGGAGGAAAGCGTGGGCGGAGATGGCGAACGAGGTGAGTAAGGGGGATGCAGAAGAGTGTACTTGAGGCGCCCCGACGCGTCCCCGTGGTTTTCCTGAGCTATCCAAGGCTTCCGAACTAGCCGCCAGGATGGCTCAACGTCCCAGATGCTGCTCAGTGTGTGTGTGTGTGGGTGTGTGCACCTGCTTGGTCAAATAAACAAAACAAAACGTGAGAAAAACATTGTGTACTGACGCGCATGATGGCGATGCCGGGACGCCGTGGTGCTGCAATCTCGTTGCGCATGCACTCGTGCTCTGACGAAGACCGCATGATGGCGTTTAGTACCGTGTGCGTCCACGCGAGGTCACTCGGAAAAGGCATGGGGATGTGGACGATCAGAAGAAGACGAGGACAGAGGGCGCGCGCGCGGGGAGGAGGAGGAGGAGGAGGAGGATTCACCAAAAAAGGACCCTTAAGCCTTCGGGAGGGGTCCGAAGTTAGGAGGGCCAAAAATATTAGGGGCAAGGAGGTCCGTTCTGCAGATGTGTCAGACCAGTCCGCCCAGATTTGCGATCCCCAATGCAAAGGCGGGGAGCTTAGTGAGGCTACGCCTTCGTCGTGTTATCAGGAAAAGGGGCCCTTTTCGTTCCTCGGTGAGAGGCGGGTCGGCCCCCCGAGGGGCGCAGTAGAGCGGCAGCTCGACGCGCTGCGGCTCCGCGACCGAGCCCCTCACGTGGGCCGCGGCGTCTCCCAGAGGGCCAAAGCTTGGCCGAAGCGCTCACGGAGCGGCCACTCGCAGGCCAAGGCAGAGCATCGCGGGGGGGAGGGGGGAGGGAGGGAAGTGGAGGCGGCCACAGGGTCTGAGCTGGATGGGCCCTGAGAGAGTCTGTCAAGAAGGCGCGATAACATGGGGAATCCGCTCAAAATTGATCCCTGGACCCCTCCCAGGATCCATCTTGTGCGATGTGTCACGCCGGATCCGTTTTTAACGGTCCAGCCCGAAAATTCGGGAGGCCGACACGAGCAGAAAACCTCTCGAACCCCGAACCTCGAACCCCGCCCCCCGCTTCCTGCTGGCCCGAAGCAGTGCTGGGCCACCTCAGACCCTCAGCCAGCTCCAGGGAGGGAGGGGAAGGGCCTTCCCCCGGCTCCAAGGAGAAAGGTGAAGGGGGGGCCCCCCCTTATCGCGTGAGCTTGTTGAGCTCCTCCCTCCCCGCCGGGGGGGAGGGAGGGGGGAGCTCAACAAGCTCCCGCGATAGATACACATACATGCATGGAATTCATCCACACCTGCAGCTACTCGTGCAGAGGAGGTGCAGCCACGCGCTGCAGCGGCAACGATGCTCGGCTCAAGCGCGATGCTCGGCACCAGTGCACGCACTCGAGCCGAGCATCGCTGCCACTGCGGCGCGTGGCTGCACCTACCTTGCCAGAGGGCACGGAGGAGCCCTGCACTCGCGTCTGCGCACAGCCCCCGCCTCGGCGGCGGCGGCGAGCGCCGGCCTCCGGTGGCTCTGCTCCCGCAGCTGCTCGGGCACCGCAGGGGCGTCGCGCCTCTGGAAGAGCAGCAGGTAGTTGCCTGCGAGCGTCCGCGCCGAAAGCTCCTCCTCGCTCGGGCCCCACGGTCCTTCCGCGCCGAGCTGGTCGCCGAGCTGGCTCGGGCCACCCCGCCGCGGTCGCGGCGCGGGGTCTGGGCTGCCAGGCCCCGCGCGCGCCACAGGGGGGAACTGGTGGGCGGGGGAGTTGGGCTGAGCTGGACGCCGCCCTCCCCCCGTGCGGTCCTCAACGACGTCCTGAAAACTGACCGCAGGTGCCCCCGAAGGCCTTCCTGGTCTTACCGCCGCTGCGAGGGCTGGCAGGCCGAGGCACCGCCAGGGCTCCGTGCCCGAGCTGACTCGGGGCCATTAGCCCCAGGCCAGGGGGCCGAATAACGCCGCCGTGCGGAGAAATCCGTGCGCTTCTCTTGGTTCGGCGGGTCTCGATGGCTTCCAGGCGGGCTGGGACCCGCACCCCTGGCCGAACGCGGCTAGATGGACCTAGAAAGAGGCTCGGAGGGATAACGATGCCGATGGCCAGGAACAAATGTTCGACGCCAAGGTCCCCATGCAGATTTGCATCCCATGTCCTGGCACTTCCCACTGTCTGAGCGAGAGAGTTTAGCCTGTGGCGACTGAGCGCTCCCTGGCGGCGTCCCGTTGGAGCGCCCACATGCTATGCCTGCCTCATCGGGGTGATCGCGGGACCCTGAGAGAACAGGAATCGGGGGCATCAAAACCAGCGCTTCGCTCGAGACGTCGCCACGATCTGGGCGCGAAGAGGCAAAGTGTTCATCCCCCCCTTGGCGGTTCCTCCTAAAGAGTGCCTAAGTGCTACAGGCCTCGAAAAAAATAGCGAACACTCATGCCACATTAATCTGTGAGCGGCTCCCCCTCCCCCCAATGTTCAAAGTTGGCGGTGGGTCTGATGAGTTGCACCTCGACCGCAGTCTCCCCCGCGCGTGCCAACTTTGAGTTTGGGGGGCAAGGGGGGTGTTCACTAATTGTTTCCCTCTGCCGTATGCCTGTTGTGCCACGGTGAGCATGAAACTCTCAACCCGGAAGAGTCTGCGAAGACTGATGAGCGAACCGCTCGAGACACCTCCCAAATCTGGGCGAGGACGTGACATGGAATACCCTCCATGGCGGCTCGCATTGGGGTCCCCAAGCTCTACGCCTGCTACACCGCGATGGCAATGAGGCTCTCAAGGGAGAAGGATCGACGACGCAAAACAGGCGAACCGCAGAAAACATCCACTCAATGCGGGCGCGACCGGGGACATGACATGACCCCTGGCGGCCCCTCCGTGGGGTGCCCAAGTGCCATGTGCCTGCCTGCGGTCGTGTGAGTGAGATTAAGTATGAAAAGTGGGCCCGAGTGTGAGTGGATCCGAGTGTGACTGCGTCTGGGCGTGGATGAGTCTTCGGGTAAGTGAGTGTGAGTGTCAGGGGGTCTGAGTATGAGTGAGTGTGGGTGAGAATGCGCGTGGGTCTGGCGATGAATGAGTCTGAGTAAGGGACTCTAAGGGACTGATCAGAGCGTAAGTGGTCTGTGTGTCTGAGCATTACTAAGCTGAGTCTGAGTGGAGCTGAGCGTGCATGGTCTGAGTATGAATGATTGGTCTGCCTCCGGGCTGCGTGAGTGAATCCAGGTATGTGGGTCTGCGATCATGTCAACATAAGTGTAAGTGAGACTAAGGGTGCGTGGGTCTGAGTGTGTGCAAGTCTGAGCATGAGTCTGAGTGTGAGTGGGAAGCGGGAGGGGGGCGGAATGTAAGGAGAAAGAGTAAGAGGCGGAGGCGTCGCAGGAATAACAGAAAGAACGTACCCTGGACATCGGAAGACACAACGATCTACGGTTGGCGTTGGGAAGATGGCGTGCAACATCGGTCTCCGCGAATCAGGCCATCCCTTTGAGGCGATCCCCCCGCTTCTTCGGCGCACGCTGTCCCCAACGTGGGGGATGGCATGTACAGTAGGAGCTCGACCACAACCAACCTTCCACGAGAAACCTAACCCTGAGACCCAAGGACGTCCGTTGATTCTGGTGTGGGAACGTCACGCGTTCCACAGCAGAACCACCGAGACCCAAGAAACCCAGGGCACACTGGAGACGAGCAGCGTGTTTCTTGGTATGGGTTTCCACTATAATACGCGGGACGGCGGCGCCACATCGCGCGCATCTTCCCAACGCTACACGCCTGTTGGAGGTCCGCGCGGGCCTCTTGGCCCTGGGCCTGGACACACCGTCCCCCGGCGCGCCGCGCCCCGCCCGCCCCCCTCCCTACGCCGATCCTTCCGAAGTGCGTGGTCTGGCCTCTTCTTCTTCGCCGGAAAGGAGGGAAGAGAAGAGAAGCAGGAGGAGGACGTGCACGACGACATGGCGGGGATGGGCGATGAGGTGAGGAATGGGCGACTTCGAGGCGGAGAAGGACAACGACGGCGAAGAGGGCGAGGAAGGGGGAAGTCGTGGGGAGAGGGCGAAGGAGCAAAGACAACGCTCAACGCCCGAATGTCAACAAAGCTTGCTAGCTGCTCGTGAAGGCTCGGAAACGCATGTCCAGCAGATCATCGTCCTCATCCTTCCGCTCCTCTCCTCCTTGGACTAAACATAGCGATCATCATCACCACTTGCCCTACCACCACCATCATCATCAGCAGCATCATCAGCAGCATCAGCATCATCATCATCATCATCATCATCAGCATCAGCATCAGCATCAGCATCAGCATCAGCATCATCATCATCAGCATCAGCATCAGCATCAGCATCATCATCATCATCATCATCATCATCATCATCATCATCATCATCATCACCATCATCATCATGACCATGACCATGACCATGACCATGATCATCAAAATCCGTAGCCGTTTTGGCTCAAGCCGCTCACAGCGGGCGAACCCCCTTTGCTCGAGCCAGCTGTGCTTGGCATGTGCTGCAGGGGGGCGTCGTTTGCTGCTTGAGGAATGGCGCGGGCGGCCGGGCGGGGTGCGCGGGGTCGCTGAGCAACGATCCCTGGGTGCAGCACCGGAGGACCCGCGCAGAGCGGTCTGCCGCGCGGCGGCGGGCGCACGCGGCCACCGATCGGTGCCTGGCGTCGGCCCAGGCCGAGGTCGCCGCGCTGCGAGGCCAGCTGGACGCCGTGTGGATTGGCAACGAGGAGCTGGTAGACCGCGTGGCGGCGCTGGCTCCCGCCCTGGGCGCCCTCCTCCGCGGCTACGTGGGCGCCCTCCGCGCCCGAGGAGGCTCTGCGGCGCAACGTGGCGCTGCACGCCGATGCCGCGGGCGCGAGGGTCGACACAGCAGGGTGCGCTGACCTGCGGCGCCTGCAGAAGAGCGCCGGTCTGGAAGAGCGTCGCTGCCAGGCGACGGGCCCGACTTGTCAGGCCGAGGAGTGCGGCGTGGAGATCTGCGTCACGGACTCGGCGTTGAAGGTCTCGGCCGACATCCCCGCTTCAGGCCCCACCGCCATTGGCAGGCCCTCGGGGCTGCGGGCGTAGGCCCCAGCCTTCGTCACCGTCGCGGAGTCGCAGGTCGACGCATTGCTGGCGAGACTGTGAGTCACGGATAGTGGCGAAACTCCGACGCAGGTGAAGTCCCAAGTGAACGCCGAGTAGACCACAGGGATGTACACTGGGGTGGGCTCTGGCCTCGAGTTGTTGAAAGCGAAGTGCGAGCCCTGCGAGTTGAAGGGTCCAAAGAAGTTGTGCGAGCAGGGGGAGCCCGTGGAGGGGCTGCACGTGTTTCATGATGAGTGCGAGCATACTATATGCAGCATGCCAAGGCTGTGTGTAGAGAGGTATGTCACGAGCGACGAAGACTCAGGTAAAAACGGACGGGGTAGCCTCTACGGCATTGGCGTGACTCGCAGCAGGTCGCGTGCCACGGAGCCGAGGCTTGGCATGTGCGGAGGGCTTGGTCTGCGCGGCTGCCGGTGCGGCCATGGCGCTGACTGTACCAAGGCAGAGTGCGAGTATGAGTGCGACCAGTGTGTTGCAGATATCGGTACAGGCGTAGTGCAGTCGTTATCGTTGTGTGAGTTGTGCGATGTCTCAAAATGTTTGCGGTACCGCTGCTTCGTGAGTGGTCTCTCCCGCACTCCTTAGAAGGGCTGAGAACACAGTCCTGTCAGAGTGGAAATCCGTAGTGAGGAGCAATTGGCCGCCATCCTGGCGGCATGCACCCTCTGGGGCTGCGTTACAAAAAAACTGCATCATCATCATCACCATCACCATCACCATCATCACAAGCATCATCACCATCACCACCAGCATCATCATCATCATCATCATCATCATCATCAGCATCATCATCAGCAAAATCATCGTCATCAGCAGCATCATCAGCATCATCATTATCGTCATCATCATCACCAGCACCATCAGCATAAACAGCTTCAGCATCATCGTCATCATGATCGTCGGAAGCAGCATCAGCATCATTGTCGTCAGCAGCGTCGTCATCATTACCAGCAGTAACATCACCATCAGCATCAGCATAATCAGCATCATAGTCGTCCTCATCAACAGCATCCTCATCAGCATCATCATCATCATCAGCATCAGCATCATCATCAGCATCGACAGCGTCTTTTTCATCATCATCCTCATCGTCCATCGTCATCATCATCAGCAGCAGCAGTATCATAATCGGCATCAGCATCAGCATCAGCATCAACATCATCAACATCATCATCGTCATCAGCGTCGTCATCATCATCACCAGCATCATCATCATCGTCGACACCAGCATCATCATCAGCATCATCAGCATCAGCATCATCATTATCGTCACCAGCACCTTCGTCACCATCAGCATCAACATCAGCATCAGCATCGGCACCAGCACCATCACGATCGTCAACATCCTCATAAGCATCATCATCATCATCATCATCATCATCATCATCATCATCATCATCATCATCATCATCATCAGCATCAACATCAGTATCATCAGCAACAACATCCTGCTCGCTGTCCTCAGTGTTCCCGTTATCCTCTTGAGATACGCATCGCCATGACTGAACCAAGCTGGACATGCCGCGACCCCTGACAACCCCAAGACAGCTGAGCGAGTCCGACACGTCTGCCTCTTCGACTGAGAGAGCGGAGGAGGGCGCGCAGGGGGGGAGGGCGGAGCGGGGCGGGGGGGGGCGGCGCGGGAGGACTGGGAAAGTAGGGGGGAAGAGGATGGGGAAGGGAATGCGAGGATCAGAAGGAAGGATGCGAAGAGGAACACGTCGGTGGAACAGATAGAGACGCACACCCTCGGGCCCCCCAGGAAAGGAGAACCGGCCTGGACCTGGAGGGTCCAGATGAAAGACGGGAAGGGAAATAGAGGGAATGGGGAGGGGAGGGGTGGAGGAAAGGGGAGAGGAGGGGGGAGGGGAGAAGAGTTGTTTTTTGTTGCAGTGCGACGTTGGCACCCAGGCTCCAAGGGCAAAGGACTGCCAGAGCTTGGCCGCCGGGGCAGAAACTTTAGTCGGAGGACTCCCCCCATCGGAATCCCCTGGACAGCGGAAGAGGGGCCGCTCGTCCTCATCCAAGTTGGAGCCCCCGCCACGCCCAGAGAGGCCCGAGCAAGGGTGGGCTCGGCAGGGGCGGGCACGGAAAGGGGAGGAGGGAAGAGGAAGGGGAGAGCAGGGGAGGAGAGCGGCAGAGGGAGAGGAGGAGGGAAGACGGCGGCGCGGCGCTGGCCCGCCTTCCCCGAGCACCCGCGCGGCGGCCGCCTCGCCAGCTCGAAGAGGGGCAAAGGTCGGGCCCGGCCGTCTCCCCGTCTCTCTCTCCCACCCCCATCTCTCTCTCTCTCTCTCTCTCTCTCGCTTTCTCTATGTATTGTCTCTCTCTCTCTCTCTCTCCCTCTCTGCATGTCTCTCTTTCATCTCTCTCTGTCTCTGTATGTGTATATATATATGTGTGTATCGCTCTCTCCCTCGCTCTCCCGCTCTCTCTCTCTCTCTCTCTCTCTCTCTCTCTCCAACGCTTACACTTAGGTATAATTCACGATCGATCAGCGTATGTGCATGTGTGTAGGTGCCCCTCACACCCCTTCCCTATCTCTCTCACTCTCGCGCTCGCTCTCTCTCTCTCTCTCTAGATATATCGCTGGTTCCCTCGGTCGTCCCCCATGATTCAGAGGAGACGCAGAAGCCGTATGAACGGATGCATGGGGTAAAAACAGAGAAGAGGGGTCAACATATCTGGGATTAGCTCGGTTGTCTTCCAAAAGCAGTATCTATAAGACGGATGCTGCGGACATGTGACTTGTGCTATCCAGGGCTACATACAGCCAGGTTGCGTTATATACATGGGTATGCATAAAACATGGGATACATCTCAACTGCGTCGCATGATGATCCTTTGATCTCCGTGCGTGCAGCGTCGCTGTTTTGCTCTGTGCGTCCACCATCACAGTCTGGCGCACTCGAAACGGCCATGGCAACGCACTGTCGTCACGGTTGAGTAGCAGCCCGTACGAAAGAGTGAGACGTGTCTTTAAACTTGTGGTCAATAACACTTCCAGCGTGGCAAGGTGAGTGGTACACGTGTTGCTGGCCTGGACGCGATTGAAAATGTTTACCTTGCTGCTGTCACCCGCGACACTGCTACATGACATGAGATGACCTAACGCCCAGCCAGGCCTCGGAGACTGAATAGCTGGTACGTGGTCATCCAAATAATGCGAGACCAACAAATGGCCCGAATGCACCAATGTACATGCGTGGTCTTGAAGTGCACGGCTTTCAAACGATCAAGACCAGTTATTGCACCGACAGCGGACTGAGGAAATTCTGACTGGCTGTGGCACTTAGCATGCAGTAGGTCACCACGTATTAAATGAGTTGTAAGGCCATGGCACCTGCGATCCACCTCTTCAGCGCTAGGCTGATACATGCGCTTTGTTTGGAGTGGTTTGCCTGTGCCATGATGATGGCGCTCATCCCTTGCCTCAACTTGTATCTAAGCCTGTTGCTTCACGGCGCAACTATGGCTCTCCGACTGCCAGTGCCCAAAGAAATCACATGTCATCAAGCCGCACTGACTCCGAGCACAGCCAAGCACAGAAGCATGCATACAACATTGTCTGTGTTTGTAACACGCGGAAGGCGCCGTATAAGTATAGCTCATTGTCGCTGCTATGCTCGCTACTTCTCTCGCTGCGATCCTCGAAGCCGCTCTCGCTGCATTCAGGCTTTAGACGACTTGAAGCACCATGATGCAGCATGGTTTCAGCCAGAATGGTCGGAACAATACCTTGAGTCAGGATGTGTTGATCTCAAAGGCTTACGGAGCTATCAGGTTTTGATGTTGGCCGCAACCACACGGGGGATCCATGCAGACGAGGATCAAGGTGAGCGAGAGAGAGAGAGAGAAGAAGAAAGGAAGCCTGTCGGCTCGAGTGAAAACATGCCGTGGTCCAAGTTTGAGAAATTGATCTGATCAAAGGATCCTGTTGGAGAGCCCACGGACGGATATCGCATGTATGTGTTTCGCCACCACCCACTCCACCCACCCGCGGCGGAATGCTAGCACAGAAAATAATTGTAAAATCCGCCGACCCACGCTTCCTGAGGCTGAACAAGCATGTGAAATGATTGGCTGTACCCGTCCCTTGGGATCTAAGTCCCGATGGAGGGGGGGACTGAGGAGGGGGGGAACGAGCTCGTCAACGCCCTTTGGGGGCCCTCGGAAAGGAAAAGGAACCCAAGACAGGCCAAGAGAACCCCAAGAAGGCCCAATGACGGGCCAAGAAAGCTCTGAGATGGCCCAAGATCACACCGAGACGCTAACAGGCCCCCAATGCACCCCAAGAGCGCTCCGAAAGCCCCATCTCCAAAAGACCAAAATGAATGTTTTCTTTACGTTTTGAAGGATTTTAGCGTCATCGCCTTTTCGGGCTCCCAACGCTCTTAGACGGCGCAACAGGCCCCCAATATCGTCGCAAAACGACCCAAGAGGCCCAGGAGGGCCACCAGACTGCCCTAAAGGGCCCCAAAGACGGCCCAAGAGGCCTCCAAGACAGCCCAAGAAGGCCCCAGGAGAGCCTCAAGAGGGGAAAGGAGAACCGACATGTCGAGCCCTCCGCCCAAAGATGACCCCCGAGATCGCCACCAGGCCTCCGAGAGGCCCTCCAGAAGCCCCAGGAAAGCCCCCTGGAGACCCAAATGAGGCCCCAAAATGCAATCGAAAAGCCCCTGAGAGGGGCCACCAAAACACCTCAAAACAGCCTTCAAGAAGACGCCATGCGCATGTATACGTGTAAACATCCGCAGACTCCTTCTGGGCTTTCGGGTCGTGAGCCGGCTCCGTTCCACAACCCCTCCCCAAGGAAGCCGCCCCAACCAACTTGGAATCAAGGCGGCCCCAGCGACGACCCCCGACGGACTCATCTGACCCAAAGGGGCTCCACGAGGGGGACCTCGACGAGGCCCCCAGAACATGGAAAGCCTTCCCGTCGTCCTCGTCTTCTGCCTCCTTCTCCAAATTCTTACTCCCACCGTCGTCGTCGTCGCCGCCGCCGCCGCCGTCGTCCTCGTCGTCGTCGTCGTCCTCGTCTCGTCTCGTCTCGTCTCGTCGTCGTCGTCGTCAAGTTCATCCTCTCCCTCCTTCTCCCGCATTATCTAGGCGTCGGCGCAATGGCGTAAGCCTCTGGCGATTACAGCATGCCTGATTGAAACGATTGACAACAAAACACTCCTGCAATTACAGAAACAGTTCATGAACACCACTGACCATATCAGATCTGGAATCCGATTAGCCATCCATCGCTATCAAAAGAGAAGCTCTTGGAATCAATCGACATCTGTCATGATCCCCACGAAAGTCACGAGAACGGGAGAGGCAGGCCGTTCCTTCCCTCTTCTTCTCGCTGCTCCCCCTCCTCGTCCTCCTTCTCCTCCGTTTGCGCCCGCTCCCCGTCCTTCGGGGACGCCCCCAAAGCCCATGGTTTGCAGGCCTCTGCGGCGCGCACACCGCTTCCGCCCCTGCCCTGGTGCTGGAAGCGTTACGATTTCCTCTTGTCGGGGCGGGGTCCGCGGACACCACGGTGGAAAAAGAGTACGGCAGGGTCGTGTCGCGACAACCCAGGCGTCAGTTTCTGACACCGCGTGAATCGTTCAACCTTGGATGATCGGCGGCTTTTCGATCGCCAGAGCGTTCCGTACTGGCCGCTTCTGGGCCACTGGCGGCGTTCAGCCTACGTGCCGACCAGACCCTCGGGGGCGCCCGAGAGGAGGGGGCGCCCAAGAGGGGCATTCGCACAGCAGGGCCCGAGGCGCGTGCGCGGCCCAGGAGTTAAAAGACGGGGTCCCGCCGAACTCTGGGGAGGCGTCGTGGCCCCGGCCATGATGTCCACCCTGCCCCCCAATTAGACGAGCGCGTTCCACTTCTCGAAAAGTAACTACTCGCAAAATGGCCCGGATCCCCCGAGGGAACTACGATAAATTACATCAGAGCAGACGTGTGTTTTTCTGACGTTTGCGAGTAGGCACTTTGCAAGTAGGGGAATGCGCTCGGTGACCAATCATCCCCCCCCCCTCTCTTGGCCGCCCCCGATGGTCAGCCGCTCTGGGCGGCGCCTGGACTCCCCCTTCGTGGTGGGGGCGGCGGCCGGGAGTGTGCAGGCCTCGTCGGCCGCGCCGCCCAGGAACTCGGCGCGGGAGTCGTCGAAACGCCACCAGCCTGCCGAAGAGGGGAGGGAACAGGCACATGGTCGGCTGATGGGACCGGCCGTGGAAATGTAGACCTGGTGTCTGCATCTTCATCCACCCTCCGTGATTCCTCCTCCTGACGTGTCTGACGTTCCCGCAAGCGAGACCATGGTGTTCGCAGGCGGCAGCTTTCATGTGTCACTGAACTAGATGGGGGGGAATTGTTCCTCCTGCAGTCCTTTGCTGTCCGAGGGTATCCGGGGCCACCGCATGTTACGATGACGCAACCCCATTCCTCCTCCTCCTCCTCCTCCTGTCTCCGCCTCCTCCCACGCCTTCCTCCCTGGGTCAGACAACATAGCAAACGGTGACCGCATCCGCCACGAGGGGCAGGCGGCCCGGACGGAAGCAGGTCATGGACCCTCTCCCCGGGATCGGCTCATCATCCTGGACCGCTCTTGAGAGCCCCATGTGGCCCAAGAAGGCACACAGGTCGAGACCGAAGAAAAGATAGCGGGACCGATTTCCCGCAGGACCCTTTTTTCTCTTGTGGAGACACGTGGAAGGCACAGGAGATACAACAATGAGCAAAGAGATGATGGTCTTCTGGCGCTCCACCTCGCAATTCCAGCACCAGGCGCACCGCGTGCAGAGCCGCTCACAGAGACAGCGGATCGGAAAGGAGCACACAAAGCGATATCTACGTATGCATGAACGTTGGTGTTTTCTCAGAGGTCCAGGAGACCATATCCTAGAAGGCCGCCTTGCATACGTGCACACACACACACACACACACACACACACACACACGCAAGCACACACATGACTGATGGGTAATTCTGGAAGAAGATTTCATCGTCCGAGGCACACCTCTTGGTGTAGAAGATCGTTATCGCCGTCTTCGAACTCATCCTCGTCATCATCCTCGTCGTCATCCACCTCGGTATACTCGTCTTCTCTATGTAATCACCCCTGCTCCTCATCATAGTGTCTTTGCTCGTAGTCCTCATCCCATGTCCCTCCTTCCACACCCTCCTTCCCCGACCTTCCCAAACACAAAACAAGACACATTAAAGAGAACCCAGTAACAACGTGGCCCCGTGAACTGTACTGTCACGCCTGCATTCCAGCTGGAAATATGAAGGCTCAACCGACGTCAGCAAAAGACACTATTTTTTAGGACAATGGCGTGGCATTTCGCATTCAATAATCCTCTGACTCCAAAATACCAATGGCCCTGTGCCCCAAATGTGTTCCGCACTTAGCTCTCTGCCTGCATGCTCTTCTTGCCTCTGTGGTGATTAACCCAGAAAACTCTTAACCCTTTGGGAGGGACCTCAGTTAGGAGGGCCAAAAACATTAGGGATACAGGGTCTTCTCTGCAGATGTATCGAATGAAACAACCCCAAATTATAATCCCTAATGCGAAGAAGGAAACATCAGTGAGGCCACGTCTTCAGTGTTATTAGGGTTAGGAATTCATTCCTTCTCGATGATGTGCATCCCGACATGTTCTCTGCCCCTCTTCTGATCGCCCCTTGCTCTCAAGAGGATTGCCGCGGAACCGTCAGACCGGCGACACACCGCAGTGTAGTGGCCGCAGGAAGCGGAGGCGCCTCGAGGGGGGCCGGGCGTCGTGGCTGCAGGAGAAAGAGGCACCTCGAGACAGGAGGCCCTCGCTGCACCCAGCGATCCAATCTGAGTCTCCCCCTCCTCCTCCTCCTCCTCCTCCTCCTCGTCCTCGTCCTCTTCCTCCTCCTCCTCCCCCTCCTCCTCCTCCTCCTCCTCCTCCTCCTCCTTCTATTCCTCCTCCTCTTCCTCCTCCCCCTCCTCCTCGTCCTCCTCCTCCTCCTGCTCCTCCCCTCTTCATCCTCATCCTCCTTCTCATCCCCCTCATCCTCATCCTCTGTGAATTTAAAAAGTATGACACGATGAACGACGGCATCCTCACGAATGACGCGAACCCTTTTGCCCATCGGTTTGTGTGTGTGATGTGGCGTGCTTGTCGATACTTACTGATATGGAGGACTGGTTGGATATCTGGGGGAGGTCTCTTACTAGACTCTTTGAGGACGATTATGTCAAACATAGATTCCTTAATACGGATGTTAGTGCATTTCGGAAATTATACCAACTGGGGGCCATGGGACCTGACATTGACCTCGGTGAGTTCCCTGACGAGGAGGAGGGCTGGGGTATGGCTGAGCTACGTTACAAATGCACCTGCTTGAACGAAGATGGCACACTATGTAGCGCGGTATTCTGATCACGTAAAGCACTCACGATGCATAACACGTTCACGAAGGGCGGCACGCACGGCAAGACGTCGAACATTCTTAAGTGTGTCGTTACCAACCAATGCCCGTGCTGTATGCAAACGTTTGCGTTTCGGAGATCGGCCAAGTCTCACGTGCAGGCCGCCTTTCGCACGGGTACTTGTGGTGTGAGTTCGGCCCATGCCATATATCCTGTCGTGAGTGTGCCGTTGAAGTGCCCTGTTTGGTGATTCGTCGTACGAGAATTTGGCTCAGCTTCAATTTCATATTCGTGATTGTCACTTGCCCCCTCCACCGCGCCCTCGTGATGACGTCGATGGAGCCGGCCTGGGCGCTCAAGAGGAAAGATGGAGGTGCCGCTTCCGAGGCTCCCCCGCAGCAGAAGGCGAAAGGCGCTCCTCCCTCGCAAGGCTCTTGCAGGCTCAGGCAGTCAGGGCGCAGCTGGACCACCCCCCACTGGCGGGGGAGGCAAGCAAAAAAAGCCACGCAAGGATCGGAACAAAGGTCTCGGCCCGCTAGCCGACACAGGATTCAACAAGAAGCAGCAGAACGTGGTGTCCGTCCTCATCAAACAAGTGCTCATGACAACCCAGATGATGCGGGACTTGTTGGCCCTCGGCATCGACACGTGGTTCCTCGACACGACCTTGCCCGAGATAGAAGCCGCCCGCGTCGAGGGCCAGAACTACAGCCAGAACGTTCGCGATGCGGGTCGGGGCCACCAGCTGGGTCCTCCTCACCTGCAGATCTTTCGTGGGTTCGTCAGCAAGCTATTAGAGCGTACGAACAGTCTGGGGGCAAAAACCTACGAGGAGCTGCTCCTGTGGTACAAGGAATGGTTTTGCAAAGCTTCGCTGGAGGAGGCCTGGGATCAGGTGCGCCTGTTCCGCATCACCAAGTGTTACGACCAGAACAAGAAGAAGATGCATCTCAGCCTCCAGAACGTAGACCAGACGGAGCAGATGCCGATCCAGATGGACGGCTCCGACGCGCGCTCAGTGCCTTCGGGCACGCGTTTGCGCCACCTGTTCGCCAGGGCCCTGCAAGAGGTGGGCGGTCGGCGCGCGGTCGGGGCCGCTCCTCCAGGGGCAATGGAAGAAATGCTGCAGCATAGTCTACCTGAGTGACTACTTATCCAGATGCCCTGTCAGTATGCACTGCTTACCTCCTACGCTGCCAGTCCCCCAGTATGCACTGCTCACCTCCTGCTTTGGCGTTGGCCTGGCGTGGAGGCAGAGGGTACCAGCTGGGGTGACGCTTGCAGACTTTGGAGGCAGAGGGTACCAGCTGGCGGGACCGCGTGTGCTGGATGTGGTGGAGTTACATATCGACCTGAATTGTATGGTACGGCCTGGCTCTCTACTGAGTGGCTTGGGTACAGTGCATTGGAGTTCATACACTACTTTTCTGATGGAGGGGCCGCGTACTATTTGCTCGCCTCGCCATGTGCAACTACGCGTGCTACCTCCTCCGCGCACGCCGCCGTATTCACCACCTTCCTGGTCGTGGTGCCGCGCGTGTGCCCTCTGCTCCTCGTCTTCCCTTTCGTGTCCTACGTGTATGTGTGCCTGGACCCGTTCCAGGCTTGAGGTGCTGCCACCGCTGCCGCGTTGCCGCCGTGCCGCCTGCTTGTTACAATCAGTGGTATTTATGTCCGTGTAGAGCGTCGTACCCCGACCTGTCGGTGCGACGGTTCCTCAGGGTTTGTATTAAGCCTGTTGGGGCCTGCCTAGGCCCTCTCGCCTTTTCCTGGATTAAACCCAGCTTCGGCTGGCAGCCGTGCGAGTTTGATACTGTTTTTCGCTGTCCCTGTCCATATGCACTCGGAGAGTGCTTACGTTTTAGTTTTTGTCGAAGGCCTACCTAGGCCTTTCCGCCTCGGACTTGTGGGAAACCTGACACACGGCGCGCCTCTATGCCGCAGTATTATTATTATTACTCCCCCTCATCCTCATCCTCATCCTCACCCTCCTCCTCCTCCTCCTCCGCCTCCTCCTCCTCACCTCCTCCTCCTCCTCAACCGCCTCGTCCTCCTCCTCCTCCTCCTCGTCCTCTTCCTCCTCCTCCTCCCCCTCCTCCTCCTCCTCCTCCTCCTCCTCCTCCTCCTCCTCTCCTCCTATTCCTCCTCCTCTTCCTCCTCCCCCTCCTCCTCGTCCTCCTCCTCCTCCTCCTGCTCCTCCCCTCTTCATCCTCATCCTCCTTCTCATCCCTCTCATCCTCATCCTCTGTTCCTCCTCCTCCTCCTCCTTTTCATCCTCCCCTTCCTCATCCTCATCCTCCTCTCCTCTCCTCCTCCTCCTCCTCCTCCTCCTCGCCTCCTCCTCCTCCTCACCTCCTCCTCCTCCTCAACCGCCTCGTCGTCCTCCTCCTCCTCCTCCTCATCCTCCTCCTCCCCCTCCACCTCCTCTTCCTCCTCCTCCTCCTCCTCCTCCTCCTCCTCCTCTTCCTCCTCCTCTCCTCCTCCTCCTCCTCCTCCTCCTCCTCCTCCTCCTCCTCCTCATCATCATCATCATCATCATCCCATTCTCCTTTCAGAAAGGAAAATGGATTTTTGACCAACGAACTGACACATCCCATGCTCTTGCAAACATCACGCCGCATACCCGCTAACTAGTTGGCCGGCAAAACCCACGCGGCGGCGGTTGCGATGCACGCATGGCGTTGGCGGGCGCATCTCCGAGGCCGCGCTGACCCAAGCGCGCGCAGCGGCCAACTAGTTCGGCGCGACCGACGCGGACGCGGTGGCGCCGACCGCTGGGCGCGCCCCAGCGGGCACTTCGCTGCAAGTCGGCGTCGGCGAGTTGGGCGGGCGCGGCGTCGCGGCAACGTCGACGGCGGCAGACGCGACGATGATGGCAGCGACGCTGGCGACGACGTCGACAACGACGACGGCG